GCGTTTCGTTAGATCGGTATAAACGATCGGAGCTAGCAGGAACGATGATGATCCAGCGAGTGGTAACGCGGTCCCGATAACAAACGATCTCGCCAGACTTTACGAGGAGCAACGTTGGATGAGTTACGATCGCGGAAATCGTCGATCAAAATCGAACAAACGACGATGGAGGACGATGCCGTGCAACCACGTTGCTGATGGCCTGTTTCTTACCGGTGGAACTCGTAAATCGTCACCAGCTCCTCGTTCGCCATCCATAAACAAATTATGGCGGATTTACACGGCCGCGACGCGCGAGATCGTCCCAGACGCTTTGATCTCCGTGGCAAACGGATGCTGAGAAATCGTCAAAGATCGGCGTGTCTACGTGTTACGTTTGCATCTGAGTTTCTGGAGATATCTATTTACCGTGGAAAATTGTTAGATGTTTTATCACACGTATTGTATGTAATACAAAAGATACATATTGTACTTACGTAGGTACGAAAGTATCCGAATACTCACATCGTGATTATAAAAATGTACGAAATTTCATAATATGATACACAGAATTCGTAAAATTCGTATCGGTGTTTCGCGAAGTTTCAAAGTATTTCATGCAACGTACGTATGCGTAAAAGTTCTTTTCTTTTTATACGTATGGCGTAAAATGTTGTACAAAATAGATACTCGTGTAGGCTCGAACTATACGAACATTAACAAAGTTAATCTGAAACTGATCCGAAGATGTACGAATATATTTACAAATGAGGCGTGAAACATCGATATGTATCCTTTGCGAAAAAAGCATGTACCTTCTAACTACCTTCAAACGTACAAAAAAAGAAAAAAGAAAAAAAAAGAAAAGAAAGAAAGAGCCGAAGAAAAGGAATGGGGGAGGGGAAAGAAAAATGCAACGAGGTGAGACACGATGGCGTGCAAAAGCAGGCCGTCGATCGCGTCCGATCTATACTCACTGGTGTCTTGGCAGGCGGCGAGGTCGAGGACCTCGATGATATGATCCACGCACTGCATCTTCTGCGAGTGCGAGAACGTGTCCGGAAGCCTGAGCCTCGCCTGGTACTGTAACACACGAACAGCAAGAACCGCATCAGGTCAGATCAGATCAGATGAGAAAAGAAAGGGAAGGAAAGGAGAAATGAAGATGACGATGAAACGAGAGAGAAAAGGTTGAACGGGCGATTAAATTGGCGAAAGATAGCGGGGAACACACAGGTAGACGATACGAGGGAAGATCGGCAAATCGTGACGGGCTTTACCGGGATGTTTGGAGGCCAGCTTTTAAGCCACCGGCCCCGTTTACGCATTAAACAGCAATGTAAGCAAAAGCCGCCGGCGCGGCGTGTGGACGTGCATTTCCGTTTCGTAACATCCAGGCCACTTTGTGTCTATTATTATCATCTGACACGTACCTCCGGGGATGCACCGGCCCGCTCGTAATCGCGATCGTTAAATCAATTACGATAACGCGCCGCAGCAGCCGGTACGCTTTCTTGCGAAACGATCCACCATCTTTCGATCCCGGTCTCCGTTGCCTCTTTCTCGCCAGGATGATGGATCCGAAAGCGATTCTTTCCGGTTCTTTGGATGCCTCGAATCGACAATTCTTTATTTCGAATTTTCGCGAAGATTTTCGTTGATTTAATAATTCGAAGGTTCCTCGAATTATTTTTAATCCTGATGGGAGTTGATGAGACTGGCAGTGATTCGGAGATGATCGTTTAGTTGCTTTGAATTCTTCTTTTTGGAAATTGTTGGGTTTTGGCGGGAGAATCATTCCTTCAGAAGGATAATTTCTTTCTAATTTTCAATTTTTGTTTTTTTTTCTAAAAAATTATTAAATTATTAAATTTGAACGGGAAGGAAGTTTTAATGGTATACAGACAATATCCTTTGTCTTTTCTAAAGAATTATTCTTCATTTATCTCCAACTCTTTGAAAGTTGTTAAGTTTGAACGAAGATGGAACTTCCATCGAATACTTTTAGAAAAGAGGCTGATTATCGAAATGATTTGAAAATATTTAACGAATGATTTCACAAATCTGGGAAGTGAACATTTCACGAAATTACAAGATGCACACGAGAAAAGAAAGAGGAGAGCAATGTTGGAGATCAACTTCGACGATACAAGTTTCCCGAACCAAGTAAAAATGAAACTAACAGTTATTTAACAAATTGGAAACCGAAGGTACTCGATCGTCGTCTCGCTGATTAAAGAACGTACAAATTATGTAACAGAACGTAGTATATATAGCAACTGCGAATCTCGTAACAAAGAAAGACTACGTGTCACGAGCTACGTCCTCTTCGTCGAAGAACGAGTCACCATCGGTGTTACGCGACTCTGCACGTAGTGCATGGACTTTCCTTCACGACAATTCGGGGACACGCGGAGCGAAGCGTATTCGAAAAGAAAAAGCATAGCGTCGCCTGTGGAATTCGTTTGTGGACGTCGAAAGTTGAAATTCTCCTGCTCTGGAACTCGAGAAATTCGCCAACCGAAAAGAGAATGAATTCCAGAGCGATTTTTTGAAAAATCCCTCGCTCTTTTATTTGTTTCAGACGTTAGTCGAGCCGATTGTCATTGGATTCTCGAGGATCCTTTTTGGATTTCATTAAATCTTACCTTTCACTCTTGAGCTTTGTTTGCTTCTCCCGGATACTTTAAGAGAATGTGTGAATTTTAGAATTTTTCAATTTTCAGACTGTGTCTTAAATATCAATTTGAAGATAAATATTAAAGAGTTTCCCAATTTTCTCCAGTTTTTATTCCGTCGAATTTGTTTGGTTATATTTATAGATGGCTAGAACGATTACTAAGAAATTTACTTTATTCCATCCCGTTGTCTGCAAAATCGGAGCGCGTTTATAATCCCAAAATCGATCGATTTTACTCTAAATCGTTACGATCTATAACAGCTCGATAATACCAACTGACATAGTGTAAAATTTAATTTCTATCCTTGCTAATTTGTCGCGAATCAAAGGGTCAGCTTATGCAACACTCGAAACAAATCTCGATCTGAAGCTGAAGTCTAACAATAAATAGAATCGATCTTGGCCCTGCTAACTCATATCTCTGCTCGAATAGATGGCTTGGAGTCAAGCTTTCGTCGCCTCGGTCGGTCGGTCAGGCTTTTAAAATTCTATTACGTGCCTGATTAATAGTTGTACTTAATCATTCGACGAAAGTATGCGCGACTACATAAAACGGCCGATAATGGCTTTCGACGCGGTTGGTTAACTTAAATCAATGTAAAGCAGCCAATTAAACGGCCCATTGTTTCCTAGCTGGCTAGTTGAAATTCCGCTCGAACGAAACCATTAAGCCGCTTAATGAAAGGAAATTCGATTCTCGTCGATCTTGTTGATCGGCGATTTCTCACGCGCGAAAATTTAGACAAACTTTTCGTTGAAAACTTCCGCCACTTTTTGACGAATTTCTTTTCCAGCTTCCTAGATAATTAATTGTTGAAAAATTTCATTTTTTGTCCAGTAAACTTGAATCGACAAATTAGGAACGTTAAATTAAAAGAAAAAAAAGAAAAGGGAAGATCACATTGGGTGAAAGAAATATTCTACACAGATTCATAAAGATTAATACAAACACCTGCAGGCAGACTCGAAAAATAACTAAAATATTCTGCTTGTTTTTATTAAAAATATCTTCTCTGCCGTCATTGTTTACAAAATCTCGTTCCTTTGATTACATTTTTACACGCTTGCGCGTGCAATTGCATAGAACCCGTGTAACATAAAAATATATTTCAATACGTTCAAAGTGTTTGTTTGTCGCGTTGAAACTATTTTACCGAGATCCCACTTCCGTCGAAATACGAAAAATTCGCGGTCTGAGCCACCGTGTGTACGCGGCTTAAAGGTGGACACCGGCTCGGTCGACACACCCTGCCTTGGACGTGCCATTTTCTCGACGCGATGGCCGTCCGGTGGAGTCCGTTACACAAGAGGATCCGTTATGCGGAGAGAGAAAGTGGCGGCCGACGATATTTCGCTGCGGGTATAGCGGTCGTCTCTCGGCCAGCAGGAAACTGGACTGCTCCAGAACGGAGCACGACCGTGAACGTCATCTCCGTCGGATGGCTTCCACGGAACGACGACGACAGCGACGACGGTGAGCGAAAGTGAGAAACGATCGAACAGCAATATGGCGATTCAATCGGCAATATCTGTTCATCGATTTTTTTCACGAATATTCGGGCGAAGATTTGTGTTTGTGTTATATTCAGAGAGAAAGATATTGCCACCATCGTGGTGAAAAATGTTGGAAGATTATTTTGAAAAAGTGGGAGAAGTCTTGGTTCACAGTTCACTATATTATTATTCAGCGAATTTCTTTATGCAAGGCAATAGGAGACGTAAGAAAACAATCGAGCTGTTTAACAAACCTTTCGAACTAATCTGCCAGAAAAATATCTAAACTGAGAGAGGCATTCATCAAGTTTGAAGATGATCTTCCGTGAAACCAAAAAAAAATATATATATATATAATATTTCGACACAAAACTCTGCAATCTGAAATTGAAAGCATTGAACGACTCTGTCGTTCAGTTCATTTTTTCAATTTAAAAACCGACCGAACTCTCTGCGAGGAGAGAAAAAACGTGGAAAGCCGGGCTAAGAGAAACGGGCACGAAGAAGAAGAAAAAGAGGAAGAAATGCGAGCCCGCGACAGAAAACAACGTGACGTGACAAAGTAAGAGAATCGAGTAACGTAAATGGGAGGGAAGAGAGACGGAGCAGCGGTTGCTTTGGCGTATTATGCACGTAGAGAGACGGCGCCGAATGTTTTTGAAACACGTAAGACACGCGCTCGACGGTTCACTGACCGAGTTATGACGTCACCATAATTCTCTCTCTCTCTCTCTTTCTCTCTCTTTCTCTTGTGTTATCTTTTCCTTTTTCTCTTTCTACCACCCTCTATACGTCACGGGGCAACTCCTGTCCCCCTTTGCCATAATCGCGAGGCCAACGTCCCGTTGGATCGGTTCGTTTAATGTATCACGCACACGTGTTTCGTGAACATTTACACACGTGCCATATATATATATATATATATATATATATATAT